GTCGTCAGCGGGGGAGGGTGGCCGATGGCGGGAAAATCGATGGTGGGAGGGTGAAGGGGGAGGGGGGCGTGTAGCCTACTCGGGTCGCCTACTCAGGGCCCCTACGCCTAGGGCCTAGGCCTAACCAACCAGTAGCCCCTAACAGCCAGACCGGGCCACGGGCGACTGACCACACCGCCCCTTTCGGTCACTCTAAAAAGGTGAGGTACATTTTTTGCATTAATAACGCACCTCACATTTTGCAAAACCGGACCATTTTTCGTCGAGAGAAAAACACGGGTCTCTCTCTCTGTGCGTGACGCAGCTGGTGACTCGCGGGGTACGACGCCGGGGCAGTACAGGCAGGTCGGCGCCGTGCTGTGGGGGCGCGGGCTGGGGGCGCCACTGGGACGGGGGTGAGGGACTGAGTGGCAGCAGCCAGGGCGCCCAGGGACCCTAGCGGCGAGCCTAAGGGGCGCCTCCGCACGGATCACCTGTGGAGGCGCGGCGCTGGCACCTTCCGCCGAAGAGGAGGCGATTGGACGCCCGCGAGTGTCACTCTGTTCGCGCCGTTTGTCTCGGATTCGTGAGTAACGAAGGCGAAGGGTGAGAGCCGTGCGCCACATCAGGAGGGAAAGCATGTTCCGTGAGGATAGCGGGAGTATATCGAGAGTAAATACACTGTATTATGTGGACTGTGTTCAACGAGTGACACTAATCAGACAATCGTCATCAAAAGTGGGGCACAGTTCGAGCGTTAGACCCGCACCTCTCGCACCAGGTGTCGCCCGGGGGAAGGGAGAAGGGGGGGGGGGGCGCCTGCACAATGCAGTGCTGCAGGCGGACTGCAGCGGGCGGCGGCGAGGGGGTGGCCACCTACCCCTGGCCGCCCCTGGCGTGCCGTGCCCCTGGCCTCGTCCACCCACCCCCACCCCCATCCCCTCAAAGGGACAATACAACCCTTCACCCCCATCCCATACGCCAACCTCCAGCCCCCCCTCCCCCCTTTTCCAAGTTGGTCCCTGCTGCTCTCGCCAACTCCACTCACCTCAGCACCCCCGCTCTCCCTCTCCTCACACCCTCACAGCTCGGACAGCAGCAGCGGGAGCACACCAGCACAGCACACTGCGCCCTAAATGCGAGACTCCGCGTTCTTCGGAGCCGAGTCGATCAGATCACACCTGCACCGTTATCCGCGGTACAATGGGGTTCACCGAGTGCCCCGAGCGTGTAGGCAACCCACCAACAGGCGTGCATGAGTACAGTCTACCTGCCGCTTGTCAGGGGTTACAGTGGGGCGTCCCGGAATTCGTAGTTAACCAAGATTGCCTGCCTTTCAGGTGGCTTATTAAGACTGACCAGCGCACCCCCACCCCACCCCCCTTCCGCATCCCCCAACCACATACCCACAAAGGGGAACGGCGGCCGGCAACCGAAAGGCAGTGTCGCCGCTAAATAAGGTATGTACAGAAATAAGATTTGTATCAGATTTGTATCCCGGTTTTTTCGATTTCCCGGTGGCGGGTTGGGCTGCGAAGGGCCGTTGGGGCAACTTGCCCCTGAGCTTGGGGCGAACCATGCGCCCCTCGAGGTGCCCCTCGAGGCGCCCTACGGGGGCCTTGAGCGAGGCTAGGCTGGGGCTTGTTTTCGTACGGGGGAGGGGAGCCGGCCGAAATGGACCAAAAGGAGAATGAGAAAGAGAGGGAGGGAGGGAGGGAGGAGAGAGAGAGAGAGCGGGGG